TAGAGTAATTTCCGAGTTGGAGGGGAAGTAACACTAAGTTGTCGTTATGAATTATAATTTAAATCTAACGAATATCCCGTTTTTCATGACAACCTATTATATTATTATAAGTATATATAACATAGTACGTATACGTATAAATGAATGTTATTTGTGTATATAATACTGGGTATTATATTATTATGTATTATGTACATCTCGGCGAAGGCCGTATTGAAGGTAAAATTCAAATAAATTATAAAATAATATTAAAATTTAAAAGTACCCAATAACGGCATTTACGCCAGTTAGTGCGTGTTTATGTATAATGATTTTATGCTATTTACATTTTTACAAACAAAACAATTGTTTTCATATTCACTCTAGGTTTATAGCTGTAATGCAAATCGCGGTTCTCTCCCCGGTCCTCGATAGTACGAAATAAAAAAGGTTTATACTTGGTATTTATGGCTAAACCGTTTATCAAAAGTGTTAATTTTGTCTTAAAAAGTTTAAGGTACTTAGTTTCCGTGTAGGTAACAAATTATTTAAAAACATATAATTTTACTTTTCGATAAAATTAAAAAACTTTTAAATAGCTCTTTTATTGATGATTAATGTTTTACATATTGTATAGGTACATATTTTATTACATTACAATATTAAACTGAATGAATTGGTAAATAATTAAAAGTAGTGTTGATATATCGAATACGGAATACTTACATGATATTTTTTTTTATTTATTAAATTTTCTTTATATGTACAATAAATCGTATAAATAAAGAAATATATCTACTTCTTTAAGCCTAAGCTTGTGATGGAGTAGAGAGTTAACAATAGTAATAATAGTAATTCAAATAGCAACATTAGAATAAAACAAAAATATTTGGATAGGTACATCCTTTCGCAAAAAGAAAAAAATTCTCAAAATATATAATATATATTAAATATGTATTTTTAAACATTTATATTACATATAGCTTTCAATTTACATACTTAGTATTTAGGTCCTGAAAATAATAATGATAATATAATATAATTTTAACATAATATATCTTTTCGAATATCAATTATTGAAATATTATAATAAAATTTGGATTTGTATTTTTATCATTAATTTTACAGCGTATTGATATGAAGTCATACTGGCTATTTTCAGTTCTTGTTTGTTGTGCCAATTATTATTTATAAAAGTGAAAGATTCTTGAAATCCTCCAAAGATTCGGTTTACCTTAAACGGAGTTACAAAGGTTGGAACTTTCAAAACGTTTAAAATATATTAATTTTTTCGAAATGATTTTGTTTAATATTTAGGTGTATTATCATAATTTATTTATGTTTTTTTATTTATTCGTCCATAGTTAATATTATATAGGTAGTGTTTTGCTGCCAACGCTGAAATGGATGATGAGAGAAAACTTATGTATTCCTACGTATTTGGAGAGTCCAGTTTGGTGTCATAATAATTTTTTTCCTGTTATGCCTATAAGCACAAAAGTGATTAGGTACTTACATATGAAACACCGTTGTGTTAAATGCGTGGGAATATTATGTCTATAATCGTATATTCGATTATTTTATGAAATATTTGAATTTACTTTCGCCGACAACATTATTATATTCAATGACTAGTTTTAATGTAATATTTATTGTTATATGATGCAACTTTTATCTAGACCGTTTTGAGAGTCCGGTGAAGTAATGTCCGTAATGATTAAATATATATGTCATTGAAAATTAATAATAAATAATGAACAATACTGTATAATTAATATTCAATGCATTCCCATTTCCCATGTATTCCTATATATTTATTTTTTGTTACTTTGTAGAAGTATTTAGTTTACTAAATGTGTAAATCAATGGTAAAAGTAATCAAATTTGGACTAAATTTGTTGCACTACCTATCTAGATTTCTTCATATATTTGAATAGATTTATAATTTTATCAGTAATTAATCTGTAATTTCAATAACAATTTGACTTTTATTTTCAAAAATTAATATTTATATAATAAATAATATTTTGATTATTGTTGTCAATAACAATAATTGTGTCGATGAATAATATTTCGTGTTTCTTATTATTCTTCAAGAAGATAATGGGCCAAACTGAATATGTTCGTGTGGGGACCCATATGCTTTTACAATGCTGAACACATAATAAACAAAATTAATTCTTATAATATTTGAAAGCCGGTATGATGTTTGCATATTTTAAAGTTTAAATCATAGGTATTTGGCTAATTTTCAATGCGTAAGTCATAAGTGCAAGCGTAATTTATTTGTGACAAATTGAACTTTCGTCCATATAATGAATGATTTATGTACTTATAGTTTTAATTTTGTATTAACGTTATTATCAGGATATCACATAAATATTAATAAAGTTTATTCATTTGAAATGTGAAATTAAGTGCTTTGTGCTAAAAGAATACTAATACTTTTCAAAACGCACGTGTCACCTCAAAAGTATCCATATTTTTCTTCAACATAATATCTATACGGCTATATACGTAAATGCATTTTCTAATTAATATTTAATTCACGCTTCTAGAAAAAAGAAATTCCCATTTGTATTATTTCCCCTATTTGATTATTACCTAAATCAATAGCTCATCATAATTGTATAATATAATATATAGTTATTGCCATACAAAAAAATTTATTTATATCAAACAAGTAGGGTATTCATTTTTAATAAGTTTTATTTTATAACAAGTACAATCGATCATATTATTTTCGTTTAATATTTCGTAAAGCCAGGTGTATATTATATCATTATCAATATACCTACAAGATAATTTTCTCAAATTCTGATTCCTAATGATAAACCCCATCGTCGTTTCAGAATAATAAATATTATAGATTCGTTATTATATTTTACCAGTTTTTTACAGGTACCTATTCAAACCTAAAACTATGGTAGGTAACTGATAAATGTATATTGAGTGTAGTTATAAAACCATAATTTACTTACGGATTATTTCACATAAATCATTATTCATTATTTTTGATTAAAATTGTATTGTTAAGTGACAAGGGCATTTTTTAAACGCCAAATAGATAAATTAAAACATACATTTTCTGTTTGCACTCCCACAACACAAATTACATGGGTATATTGGCGGTATGCATTGAAAATAGAATAAATTATTATCCTCATTTTGAATGTACATAACTTATGTATTAAGTTTTAAAGTAAAACAATATGTTGTTAATTATAAAGTTATACATTTTTATAAAATATTCACTGTAATTTCGGCTCTTATATCTAACATCGAACAAATTCGGTTACGTTTTATTTATTCATTGTAGTATTTTCTACGAAACAATACTTGCCATCTGGCATTTATGTATATATTAAAATATACTACCTATATGAGTTGTACGGAGTAATACTCAGCGGCGATCGAATAAAACGCTCCATTGCGTATATAGTGTTTTAACACTATTTATATCTCTCTCGCTAAAATCTGCCCACTTTTTAGGTAGGTACCTAATGTATTATTATTCATTATTAAGTAATATTCTTATGTGTGTATAGTTAAATAGAATTATACTCATAATACTAGTTATGATAATGATGATATAACATTACCTAATATCTATGCTTAGATGTATTATTGCCGGAAGCGACTGCCTTTCAGGCCATCTCTTCTATTGCAGAAAAACGAGTTTAACCCTAGCTCCAGCTGATGTCGAACAGAAGTCACTTTAGTCAGTAGTAACCATTTCGCGTAAGAGCGCATAATACGTATACGACATAATATTATGTTTATCGTACTCAATTCGGAAGATCTTGTGCATGATTTATTATAATATTATATATGTGTTGGGATCCTAACCGATAAAAGAAGAAAAAAATTAAAATTACGTAATTTACCGGTACCATCTTAAATATATACAAAAATCGACATTTTCTATAGGTACTTATCGGTTAATTGCGATTTTTACCGAAAAAATTGGCGTTGAGTATGTTAGTACATCACGATTGTGTTTGGTTTTCCACATTCGCCATAAAGTGATTATATTGCTTTCACTAGATGTCTTTCATGAAAACATATTCATACCTTTATAATTATTAAATAGGCTTCAGTGCTTTACTGTCTTTTGATTTTATCTTTTACGCATCAAAAAACTTGCGTGTTATGTTTTTATCATAGATATTTAAATGTTTTCACGTAAAACATTTATTACAAACACAAGTAATCTGTCGAAATAATAAATGTGCTTGTCGTCCTTCAGGTAAATTTTTCAAATCGAAATGTTATAGGTCTTTAGCACGTGAAAATAAATAGTTAATACAAATAGATACGTCAATAACCTTTCGTACAATTTTTTATCGTATATTCTCGGTAATTAACGTAAAAATATTTTCACGCAAATTATTTTGTCATTTGTTGGATGGTAGCACTAATACATTTTCTAAGTTTTTTCATTTTTGTACGGCGATTGACATTTAATGAATCTCTATAATTTAATAGATTTATAATGGAATTAATAATTATATTTAAAGATCTACGATTTATAGATATATTATTTTAAATTATTTGTATCTTAATAAAGCTGTCTGAATTTTTTAGTTATTTTATTAGTACCTATATTGGTATTATTATTATTAGTTGAATCTCATAAATACGTATATATACCTACCTAGTACCTACTTATACATATACATAAACAAATGTGATAATTACATTGATTAGCCATTGACATATTATTGTGTATAATATTTAATTATTTTAATAGTATGATACATCTATAATATATTGTATTTTAGTAAATCATGGAAGTAGGAAATGGTTGCTGAATAAAATGACACTCCTATTTAACACGTAATGTGACATTTAACTGTTTTTTGAGCAACTGATTATCATTTAACTGTAATTTGAATTTATATGTAAATTAATGTTGGTACAAACATACAATGAAAGTGGGATTCAATAACTGTTTTGTTAAAATAAAAAGTAATAACATGTGATTATAAATATATAATATTTTTATTTTTATATTTTAGAATCAAATACTCGACCGCGTGAAATGTGATCATGTAACTGTTACAAAACCAGAAGAAGATCGACGGAGAAGGACCATAATTGTCGAGAAAAGAAATGGAAGTTATGGCTTTATGCTCCAAGTAAATATTATTGAGTACCTACCTATATTTTTTAGTACGAATTTCTAGCTGTTAGTCATGAATTATTACTATTTTTAAAATAAAGTTTATTAAAAAAATATTTTTTTATAAATCAACGAAATTTTTTTTTTTTACAATAACTATCTATTATATTTATCTATAATTATTTACACGATTAATTCTATATTTTATAACATATTGTTCACTGTCATCGTACCATGTGCACTGTGCAGTATAACTGTACTGAAAAAAAACGTATATATAGTTATAATGTTTAATATATTTCTTTAGCTATCGTTAAATTATAGGAATTTTATTGATAATGAATAAATAACTGATAAATATGGTGTATTTACATGTTTTTTCTATTAAACTGACAACAAAGTGTAAATTTTTTTTATTTATGACTAGTGCGTCTTTTTTATATTATAACAATATATATAGGTATACCTACCTAGATAATATATTACTTATTATATTAATGGTTTTTTTTTTTTTTTTAAGAGTTATGGCATTCACTATAAAAAAGAGCAGGAGATTGAAATGATTACATATGTGGATCACGTAGACTATGATGGACCGGCATATAGAGCCGGGATGAGAGAAGGTAAAATGAATTGATTTTTCATGTAGGATAAAACACAATAACTGACACTTTTTGCCTTGTTGTAGGCGATGTAATACTGTCAATAAATGGTGTCGACATGGAAAAGACTGACCATAAAGCTTTGGTTAGCTTTATAAAAAGCTGTGATTCACGAATGAGAATGGTGGTACTATTTGAAGACTGCGTGCGAAAGGTTAGAATTGGAATAATTGAATATAAAAATAATATAAACTCGTTACGCCCATACACAATATATACATATATTACCTATGTGTACAAAATAATTTTAAATATGTATTTTCTTTAGGTTGACTTACACATGAGATATATACAACTTCAGCGTACGCTTCAGGCCAAAGTCGAAGAACTGGAAAAGGTCGAAATCAAAGAGAGAGAGCTCATGGAAGGAAAATGGAAAACGCACAGTTTGCCAGCAAGAAAAAAGTCTAGTCATTCTTCTAAGGACACTGCCAACCAAAATATATTGACTGAAAACGGTAATCATACAATAATATACTTAAAAATAACTTTAAATATACTTACCTTTACTTACCATATTATTTTTATTCACCATATACTATTGCAATAACTAATATTACCAATATTATAGTAATTTATTTTTTTATTTTATTCCCTTCAATCAGTTGTTGGTTCTTAATTTCGGGTATAGAATAATATTTTAATTATATGTACATATTATACTATATATTGTAGGTATAATAATAATAACTTGATGTTCTGAAGTTCTACCGAATCAATTTGCTTGATTTTTATTTAACCAAGTCCCAAACTTAAAGATGAGGCATTTATTGAGAAAACTACTAAAGTTAATTAATTAAGTATAGTCATCAGCGTTGTTACATTTTTTATTTTTGTGTAGTAAAAACTACGTGCGTTTCCGCATGCAGTGTGTACCGCACTCTGCACACGTCATGTTTATGAGTTATTACTTATTAATAATATGCTACGTCAACTACTGCGACGTCGTCGACACGGTTTTTTTTTATCTATTAAACGTTGAACAAAATAGTCACAGGCGGCGTGGCAGCAGTACCTATACCGTCGGCATTGGTTTTAATTTGGCGCAGCTATTATACAAAACGATTTTGCACGGGTCAGCTTGAACTTTAACTTAAAAATCTATTGAAAATAGAAAGCAAGGACATTTTGTAGAAGAATATTTTGAAAATATTTATTTTATTTTATATTAATTTTTTTTTAAATTGTTGTGCGAAATTTTCACACTGGTTACAGGCGTTACAGCTATGGGTAGTAGCTATGTATAATTGGGTGTGTGCCCGGGCACAGCTCGGGTTCGAACCGGAACTGTGATGTGATATCTCAACCTGTCTGCAGTAAATATTGTAATTCTTAACAGTCCTATGGCCATTAAATATTAATGTTATATTGCTATAATGCAATACTACATTAGTACATATTTACATGTACCAAATAATAATGAATTTACATCAAGATAATAATTCTTCTATTACACTACTTACGATACATATTATATTTAAACGTATGTTTATAGTCGTTGACAGATCACAGAAACCTACTCTAGAGATATTTTACAATTACATGAAACAAACTTGTTGCGTCTCAGATAACAACATTTAAATTTTATTTTATTTTTACTGGTTATTTGAGTTTCAAGATTTCGGACGTAAATAACCTATTAATACGGAATGTCGAATAATTATGTGATATTATATTTTGTGATACACAGCTGATACAGTCAAACAGGTAGCAAAATAATTTTAGAGTATTTGACGTTTTCGCCGATAACATGCCACGCGTAGGTAACGTGGACAATAATTTTAAGGAAAATATCAACCACTCTTTACACTCAAAAACCTAATTTTCTATACTAATTTTTAGCATAGTTCTCATACTTATACCAATTAATTATTTTTGTATAATTCGATAATAATTTGTATTATTATAGTTTACTTATTTATCGCACTTTGTATACCTACTTATTAAAAAGGTTACTTTTAAATTTGTCTGGTGAATAAATGACTGTATCTGTGGATATAACTAACGCATATCATTTATCTCTACGTAATATTACGTTTCATAATTATCTGCCAACACACAATTAAAAATTAGTTGTTAAATTATATTTTCATAATATTCTACAAGATTTAAAGTGCATTAATGTTATTTAAACTTTTTTTCAAATCAACTTAGGTAAAATACTTAGGTCAATACTCACACATAATAGTTAAATTATTATACAATGGTCTGCCCATATTTTATTGTTTTATTATTTTTAATGTTTATAAAATTACAGGTGAAAGTTCTATGTCCAGGCCTACATTATCGACTGAAGACGTGGCCAAAGCACAGCCAATTTATGTGCCTAAACAAAATTTTATGTTGGCTTATCGACCACACCATTTCATCGATCAGCACGGACGTTCCTATTACTTGCATCAACCCGCCACTGCCATAATCAATGGAGATTCAAGTTACGTCGGTTGGCACAGGTAATTAGAATATGTATAATGTATACAGCCATATATACTTCATAGGTCATTGCAATATTTACTATAAATAAAAATACAATTAAAATCTTTAAAATCTTTTATTCCCGTCAATATTTAAAATTCTTCCGATGTTATAATTGGTTTAAAATAAATTTGTTATTAAGTTTTAAATAAGAGTTAACTTTGTGTAAGAAATTTGTATCAGTATTACATGCAAAAATCGACCAAGAAAAAAACCCTAATTAGAATATTAACTAATCATGGAAATATATTAATGCAAATAGTATAATCAAACACAATAGTACTTATACCTTAATATGTAATATTTGTTTTTATGTTTGTACCAATTAAATATTTAAGGAAAAAAAATAAAAGTTAATTCATTACTTTCACCCGTGTTAACGGTTAATGTTACAGTTGTTATTCATAATGTGAAATAATCATTATTTGTCTATGTTTGGGTGAACCTAATTACTACAATTATTCAAGCAATATCATGTTATGTATTCGGTACATATGTACTTTAAATTTTAACTTTATCAAAGATACCGATAAAATTAATAGGTATACCTAGATCACAAATTATTGTGACGGTTTGCGTCATTCATTTCTATATATTCGTCAAATTTGATTTATTTGATAATAATTTCGTACCCAATCATATCAATTTCAGGTGCTTTATTAAAAAATAAAATTGCCAACCTCGTTCTGAAAAGTAAAATTCGATATAAATTATAGGGTCCCAACACTCACCAACTCATATGTACTTACTGAAAATTATTTTAATAATGTAGCCCTGATGTTTATATTATTCAGATTTAAAGTTTAAATTTTAAACTCACCGTAACGACGAAAAATTGTATATGCGGGTCCCGTTGGACGCTTTTCGTGAAAACGTTTAGCCGTACTTTATTCTATACAATGATGTACCTACATTATGATATTCTATAATAATGTTAATAGAAACGATATATTGGATAGATATAAATGCTCCTGCAGCTTCGAGTCATCCTTATAACAAGTCATTTAGTCATGACGTAATACATGCGTTTCCGTTAGTCTGGATCAAGTCTCCGATAACCGGACATGCAGTCTTTGTCTGCAGGACGAATATTAATTTTAATTGTCAAACACCACCACTGAACGAACCGTATAAATGGCGGCATGAGCTCTTATTGGTGGCATCGGTGGGGATGGCACGAGAATACCTTTTCCCCGTCATCGCCGATAGAGGAGAGTGTTCATTTTCCGTTTTCGTTGCGAAGTCAATGTCAAATATCTTTTCCCTTTGGGCTCTATTTATCGCTGTTGACTTATAATTATACCGTACAAAATAAAATATATACTTGTAGTCACAGGCAATCAATAATATTCTAGCCTCTCTATCGCCTCTCTCTATATAGTGTCTATTCTACATAGACTGACATGACATAATTTATAATACCGTAATAGTTAATTTTGAACATTTGGCAAATCCAATTACATTATAATTTCTGTAAGTATTTATTTTATGTAAGATAAAATATAATAAGCAAGGTCCTAATTATTATCGTATTTATAATTTATGTAATAGGTACCTTATATAAATAGTAGCACATATATAGTCAATATTTTTTTTATGGTTTTTATATTCGCCTTAGTGCGAGCAAATTAAAATCTCTGTGACCCATATGCGATATGCCATTTCTTACGGGACAGTCCCATTTTTTGGCTCTCTGCAGAGAAGATATTAAGTTACAAGGTAAAAATTTTGGGACACTAAAATTTCCCGTTTTTAGAAAATAGGAAAATAATTTTTTGTCGATGAATTATAATGTTTATTAAATATGCGAGGACATAATATTATAATCGCCACGATATATCAACATTTAGCGCCAACTCAATATTCGACTGTTCTCTCTCTACACGGTTATTTTTCGTCTCGTTTTGACCTAAACCTTAATAATATATTATTCACATATTAATAATATGGTCATCTATGTATACGTAGATAATATGACCTATACATGTCAATCATCAATGCGCATATACTAATCGTTACCGTGTATTTTCAGCAATCGCTCTATTAACAGCAGTAAAAGCTGCGACCAACAAGAAAACTGGGCGCCACCGGATCAACCGGTTCAGCAGAGGAGACGATCGCATTACGTGGTGGAAGTCAGCCGGCGGTGCAGCACGTCGTCGGACGTGCCGAATCGTTCGCAGCAACAACAGCCGCACTGCAAACAGCACAACTTCACCAACAGAGCATCGCAGCGGTCCTCGTCACAAGGTAAATATCGGATATACCTGGTATTACGACATGTAGGTATACATACAACGGAATATATTATAAACAATAATGCTCGTATATCTATATAATATTTAAATCGCAACTAATTTACGTCGTCGGAATAAAATTACCGTGGAAATATTTTACTTACCTACCTACAAATTGCATATATATGCGGGCATATTATGAATTATGCCCTACGTTCACTGGCGAAATTTGATGGAAACATATTTTTTGGAAGAGTTGTAGATTTATGTACAATTTTAGCATAGGATATTATATTATTATCCTATAAGTATAATATACTTTAAAACTCTTTTGGGGGTAAACCTAATAATATCCCCTTATCGCCTTCCTTCCTCACAAACACCTCGAATTGCGTCTATGCGTGCCAATAATATAATAATAACTATGCGTTACGCTGCAATAACGGTATATATATAGGTAATATAATTACAGTAGAACTTGCACAACTCGAAAAACACATACAAGTATACACCCATTTATATAATATATAGTATGTAATTTACCTGAAACGTGCTAAAAAAATAACTTGCTCTTGCCAACTGTAAATAACTTTGAAACTATGTACCTATTGGCTTTTTTGCCTCCATTGGTTTTCGAGTTGTAGAAGTCCTGCTGCGGTCGCGGCCGCATAAGTGCGTAACACATGGCGTTATTTATACCTATATGAATTTATTGCTTTGGAGCCGCTTTGCACCTTTACACTCGCTCACTCCTCGTATGTATTATATACTTAAATATAACACGGTAGGCGGTGGTGTATTTATTTTTCTTCTTCTAATTCTCCTACTTCTTCTTCTTCTTCTTCTTCTCCGTTTTTGTTTGTTTGTTGTTTCCTATATGCTTTCCGGTGTAGGCGATAACTGTCCGCGATGGGGTTGCATACGCACCGGTGGCGGCGCATCCGGTCGGCGGAGGAACGATGGCGGCGGAGGACATGACGCCGACGACGACGACGATGACAACGACGACGACGACGACGACGACGATGGAGGCAGCGTGGAGGCGTACGATCTTTCGGCGGACGGCGGGGCGGCCTGCTGCCCGGGATCGCAGTGCGTGCCCACCAGGAGACATCGGCGCAGGCGCAAGTCATCATCTGCGCGTGGCGGCCGCGACAAAAGCCCAGGCAAGCTACGACTGCTGCTCCAGCGGTCCCGGGGACCTCGGTGTTGGCCGCGTTGCTTGTCGCTGTTGTTCGGCGGATGCCAACTTAGTGGTTGTTGTTGTGGTTGTGGTCTTCGCACACGTACTTGAAATCGTATACATCATGTATAATATGCACGCAACGACAAATACGCATTATATTTTCGTTGTTATTTATGTTGTTATGACCTATATTATAGTTTGCGATGTCGTAGACAGTATATTATATAGTAATGTTGTAGTATACCTAGTATATAGTATAAGACAATATTCTATTGTTATTATTATATAGTATAGTACACCTTAAATATAATATACCGCACACTCGTCATCTGCCCACCCGCACCCCACTTGCAGAGCTGCACGTCTATACGCCTATACTAGATAATATTATTAGATGTACCTAAATATATTATTCGTCGTTGACTTTTTTCCATAATATATTATATACCTATAAATACTTTTTTTCTTCTTATTTTCCGTTAATTTTTTTGATTTCTTAAATATTTTTCTCCGGCCACTTACAAATATCATGTTATACGTAGATCATAAAATTGTGAGCATGATAGGTGTAATGATAATTATATATATACGTAAATGTATACGCATACACCGGTGCATCATTGTTCGTTTGTTTGTTTTTGAGTTTTTGTTGCTGTTTTTTTAAAATAGATAGTGTTCGAACTAAAAGCGACGAAAACCCTCTTATTAAAAAAAAACTATGTGTACCCAACTAATTACATTCTAATCAATAAGACATATTTTGATATTCAGGTACCATGGTTTTTTACACTTTTACTTACCCTTCTGATTTTTTCTGAATTCAAGGACTGCATATTATAGAGAAGTATGATATAGTGGTGTCAAAGACTGCAGGGGTAGATTTTTTTTTATGTTTTTTGACCTTGTGGCATGCACGTTTCCTATAATGTTCCCATTATTAAAATAATATATATATATACATTATACACGATAATAACGGGTAGGTAGGTACTTACATTTTTTCAAACGTTTTTTGCACCTTTCCAGTTAAAAACAGAAATCATTAACGAATCGTCGTCATAATAAAACATAATATTATATTATAATTATTAATACCCCCGACCCCTTTCCTCTTTAATGTACTCGCGTGTTCGATATTACCGACCAACATACCTGCTACTTTTATATTACGTTCGGACGCGTTAATATTTTTATTGTTTTATTTTTTTTTTTCATTCATGTATTTTATAATTATATAAATTATACCACCTATGTCTTTTACGCGTGTTCAAGTTTTTTCATTCGTATAAACACGTTGTATACACCTATTCGTGTGAGAAATATATTATTTTATCCATTTAAAACTAATTATCATATTATCATAATATATTAGAAATAATAATAGATATTATAAACGCATGGATTTATACGTTTATTTATTACTATTTTTTTAGCCATTTCTTGCATGCCAGTAGAGTTGACGGTTTATGTGATACACTAACAGTGCAGTGGTGTAGCCAGGATTTTGCTTTTGAAAGCTGATAATTTATTACACGGGGTATGTTTAGCTATAGGATCCCTCATAAGTTTCATATGATGCTGATGCCGTAGGTATAACGTTTTAGACTTTTACAGTAACCTTCATTAAAATTAAAATTTTAACACATACTATGATGGTTACGTATACGTAATACACCGAAAACGTTTTCAAATTTTTAGGAAGTTCTGCAGCCCCCCCTCTCCTGGCCACGCCACAGACTAGTAAACTAGTAACTACTATAATATGTTTGTATATATGGGTACTTGTACTTGTGACATTTATTATATCATTCAAACTGAAAACAAGTAATCATGATGTGCAGCCAGTATTTAAAAACGAATATAACTCCAAAATCATCAACCAAACGTCTATATAGGATAGATATAGGTATGTAAAGTTGCACTTTGTCACACGGAACATGGGCATAAATTGCAACATGCATTTTTAATTAGCACGTAAAGGGCAAAAAAATGTTTTCAGGTGCCAGACGCACATGGTGGGTATTTTTAAACATTTGTTTGTGCGCTTATCCAGATTCTAGCTTGTAGAGCCAATAATCACATCGGTATGAAAGTGTGAATTGTTGGTCATCTGTAGCCAACAATCTAAAACAAGGTGTTCGGATTTCGCGTATATTTGGCCATTTGGGTTCATTGACATCAAACAGGATTCGTTAACATTATTTTATAATAATTCAACTTAAAATATGTTTGCATGTAGGTACCTATATACCTGACTAATCGATATACGTAGTAATTAACTTGACAACGACTAAATAAAAATTAATTTAATAGAATAGGTACCGCCATACTGTTATATAAAATCTCTCCAATTTTCTTATTATTTTTAATATCGTTTATACATTTTTAAATTTTTGAATGACATACATTTTAATTTTATATTCCGTTCCGAAGCAGAATATTTTTTGGAGCACTTTGATACAGAAGAAATCGAATTCTAAACGTTGTTTAGTTGTAATAAGGTATTTTAAGTTTCAATGAGCAAAGTGGTGGACCTGCAACATTTTGGCGGAGTACCTACCTCCCCTTTGCCTGTGCTCCTTACTTAAATTTGAATAATGAAAATATTCTGCTTCAGATTATAAATTATAAATGTTTGTATGCAATCTTTCAGAAAACTTATGACGAATAAAAATTGCAATGTTGGTCTGCAATGAAGTTACATTATGTAAATAAAATATTTAAAAAAAAACTTTTTTCTAAATTAAAAGTGTAGACACTTATAAATGAACCACCTTGTATGTACCTAGGACCCACCATAACATATATTTATATACATATAGGGGATTCACTAAGCACAGGATCTGATGCTCAACCTTCCCCCCAATTTCTTCCTTTAAATTTTAATAAATTATTCATTCGAGTTCTGATTTTTGGACTTTTTAAATATAGGTACTTTAAGATCATATATTTTCAAGTTCTTTAATTTACAGTATGAAATGGGCCTTCTCGTTTGAAAAACTGAAGTTTATATCTTCACAGGACACTCTAGTGACACAAAAATCCTCAAGAAATTGAAAATATATTATCCAAGTATATATTTTAAAATTCCAAAAATCAGATTTTGAAAACTGCATTATCGAAGGAAAAAAGGGTGTGAGTTTGAATGGTGAATCACCCGGCTGTATATAAGTGTACACATTATAATACGAAACCATATCATTGCATCGTTGCTGTTCCTATTATTGTTGTTAAATAATATTATTGTCATGTATGACACGTTTATAATCGGAGCAATCGGCGTTGTGTGTTGTATGTGTTCACAGACTGCAAATCAGAGAGTTCGTACTGCCGGAAGGGACACGAGAAGCGGCGCAGCTCGACCAGGAACGAAGTGCCCGACGAACACAACCCGTCACTGCAGCACGTTACCAGTACCAGCGGTAACCACGGTTACTCAAATCTGGTGAACGATCGGTACGCGTCGGACGAGAGGATGTGCCAAAGCACGTCGATCGGCGGGGGAGGCGGTGGTGGCGGCGGCCGGCCTTCCCAAAACAGTCTGACGGAGAACAGCCCAGCGTCGTACACGACGTCGCTGAGTACGGACACGCTGTACTGGGACGACGACCCGATGGCCGCAGGTCAGCCGTCAGCCGCGTCCCGACAGCACTCAGTCAAGTCGCAGTCGTCGTCGACGTACCGGCGTGACAACTGCGCCGTCAAGCCGGTCAAGTCGTGGGACAACCTGACCACCAAGGCGTTTGGTGGTTACGGGTTCGGCTATGAGTATTTGGATCGCGACCAAATCGTCAACAACGGCACCGGCGGAGGCGGCACCGGTACCGGACAGCATCACATGGTGTATCTGCAGCTGAAGAACGTCAAGGGTGGACAGAAACACCACGGCGGTCACCACCACCACCATCACCACAACCATCAACACCCGCAGCAGCAGCACAACTTGCAGCAGCAGCAGCAACACAACCATCACAACAACAATCAACAACGCTCCAACCACAACGGCCACCATCACCATCGCCACAACGCCGGCGGCAGGATCCGTCACCCGACCAAGTCCACTGAGACGCTGCTCACGCTACCGCCGCAGTACCCGATCGCGGCCATTGAGTCTTCGGCCAGCTGCGAGTATTTGGACGCTTGTTCGTCGTCGTCGTCATTGGCGGCCGGTGGTTACTTCGCGGGGTACGTCAGGAACGACAAGGCCAGTCAGACGGACTGCCGGAGATACGCGGCACAACATCAGCAGCCACCGCCGCCCGAGGTGACGAGGCTATGATGAGAATCTCCAACAACGCGTCATTATTGTATTATTAATTATTATTATTTTATTGTGTTATACATTTTTTTTAAATTTTTTCTTTACCTCGTCTATTCTATTGTACTCGGGGTTTTTTTACGCGACGAGAAATGTTATCATAAAACATATTAGATATTTTATTATACTCCGCCATAATGTGATTTTTTTCTATGCATATTCTATATCGTTATATTTATGATAATATTATTACACAATCTCCTCAGATTTATCTCTAGTCATCAATTATTATATAATATATTATAGGTAGTATATTACTAATTACTATTATTATCCGAGTTTTAAGCTACGCGTCCGTTATTTTATTATCAACCATATTATTATTATTATTATTATATTATTCTAATACCTAAGGTTTTAAAATACAATGTAGTGTACCCCCCGTATCGTATCGTATATTATAATAATATTATGTTTGAATTTTTGAACTCAAACCGTGAAATAGTGGATTTACTTGTCGGTATCGTCTTCACCGATGTAAAACCGTCGGGCTGGACGGCGCCAATTGTACAATATTCTTAGGCATTTACTTATAATATTAATCACGTGTATGGTCGAAACTGCATATTTATAGTTAGTTTTCAGTGACAGACTATTTTTCGCTCGATATTGCTGCGAGTTATGCATTGAGATGTTCGAGACAGAGGTTCGTTCGAAAACAGTCTCCTCGCCAATTGTACAATATTTTATAACAATAAACTATTATAATAACAGTAATTATTATACGTGTACTGCCGAAATAGCTTATTATCTAGTTAGTTTTTCGTGACGAATTATTTTTTACTCGGGAGCGCTGTGGGTCATTGGTATATATATTGTTAAGATGTCCACGACAGAATATCGTTCGAAAACATATTATATAATCTCATCGTCCAAAACGACTTCAGCAGTATCGATCCCACTACATGATCGGGACAAGGCCGATTAAAAAATATTATAAATCAAAATATTCGTGTGCTATGTTACTATATATAATAATATTTAGGTAATAAATAATAATATAATTATTATATTGTTTTACACATAAAAGCTACGCGTATACCTGAGCTTACTGCGTCCATATGGATACGACTTCATATTATTTTATTATAATAATATACATTTTTAACGTATTTTTATTCTTGTGTATTGGAGGGGTCGATTTTTAACAGCGATAAATTCCACATCTATGGTCCACTGCTTCACACTATATGTAATTTGTTTTTTTCAAAATTGTATTTGCGTGCCAGTGTAATAATTATTTGCTTTTATAAACTTTGTAAATGTTTTCTTTTTTGATTACCTTATCAAGTTCGCACTGAATCGTACTTGTTCATTATATATATATATTGTGGGGATATATTAAATTACATCAATAAATAAATGTAAGAAAAAAATCAAAAACTAGAGAACCCAACGTTTTTTGTAGACTTTTATTATATAGATACTGTTTGTAAGTTATAACAAACCATAAAATAAATAATATATATATAATATTATAATACTATGTATCTAGTGTTTTTATATGTGTTTGATACTCAAAATATAATACGGTTAGTTATGGTCAAATAACCATCAACGACAATATCGGCGGACATAATATCTCACTGTTTTAATAAATTGTGAAAAAAAAAGTTATGAGATACGTCGTTAACCCTACAGGCTACGGATGTACTGACAAAATTTAGGATGTCTGTTTGAACCCATAAAATCTGTAATTTAAGCAAACGTAGGTACTTATAGATACTCGTTAATTTGTATGTATGTTTATTGTTCGTCAATCATCGAAGATTAGGAAGAGTAGGTATGGTTTTAGTATATACAAAAGTGAGAGTCACTTTTAGATTCTGAGCGGAGCGAGGAAGCTAGTGGTTTTACAATGGTGTTTATTTTTTTATTTTTTATATCCTGTATACAAAATTTCTACCAGAAGCCTTCGATTTTCACATATATAGTATCTTATCTTTTAGCAAATTGGATCAAGATGGTACTTTAGAGAGGTCATTTTTCGACTTTATCATGCAATAGTTATTTAATGCCACGGTAAAAACCACTGAAAAATTACGAAAAACCTCTAAAAATTGGATTTTAATTTCTAACGTTTTTTTTATTATACCATAGAAACGAATAAAAAATAATAATATTTTAATATTAATTCAACTTAGATACATGATGATATAATAATTAATGACAATATAAAATATCTAGACTGATAAACCGTTTCCGCTCAGAATAGTTCTTCTTATACAATGATAGAATATATCACTGAATTCAAGTTTAATACGATCCATTATACATTGACCCAGTTGTAATCTACTGTACAGCAGAGCAACATCCACTTAACTGCTCTTTTTTTTAGTTTTTATTAATTGCGATTTTTGTGTTTGTTATAAATTATAATAAATAAAATCTACCTTGTTACTGATAATTTATTGTCTTTCATAACCATTTAAAAATTATCCACTCACATATTATGCGTCAAATTAGAAGTTAATAGTCATTGAATCTAAAAACCACACACTTTAGATGAACTATATCCTACAGTACAAAAACGCACTTTTAATAGGTTAACACCGAACACGTCTTGTGTAACGTTGTTGTATCCAAAAACTTCATGCTTTATATAATATTACTCTAAAATGTATTAATTTTAAAATTGTAAATATTATGTTATTTATTATTTATGTATATATTTAAATGAAAAAAAAAATACAAAAAAATTACCTTTTTACACGTTACAAAACAATTTCATATCTTTTGTAAACATAATAAGTTTTTTCATTTTAGGTGGTAGGAATATCACAACAATTCAAAACGAAATGAATTTTTCTCATCAAACTGTATGATAAAATTGGTCACAGTTGTTCACGTTCATAATACAACGCTGGTCTGTAGATTAAAAACAGTGTGTGGTTTATTTCACACTAAGTGTGTGATTTTTCAGGTTTTTGTATATATCGACCTTTTTGGAGTCGTAATCATGAGTGTGCAGATTTTGGATGCAGCCTTACTAGTTAACAAACAATACATTCACCAAGTTTAAAAAGAAAAAAAAATATTAACCCAACCCACTTTATAAAAAAGTTATATTTGTTATTTTATTTTAATTTTTATCTATTTTAATTTTTTAATTAGTAGGTTACATAATATGAGTGGTTCATATCTACATCGTATAAATAATATTTTTACTTAAAACCGTGTATATACTTCTATGTGCAGTAATTAACGTGGGAAACAATTACAAGCAAAAATTCCAAAAATATTTTTAATTTTCACTGCAGAGATGCATTATTCTTAAATCAACTAAAAAACCCCAAGTTATTTCAACGGCGTGTTAAATTAAACATGTTATTTAAAATGTTAACTATCTGGTTAAAACAAGTAAAGAAAAAATTAACTTTATAACTAGTTAATGCAGACTGCAGACTAGTTTACTAGTTTACTTCAAAAAATATTTAAAAAAAAATTTTACAACTAAATAATGTTACAATCCCATAACTACTTTTGTCATATTGCTATAATATTACTATTTAAAAAAAAAAATACATTTTAATGATTCAGTCGTCGTTAATTTATTACGAGTTTCACGATGATTTCCGTCGAGATAATAATATAATAATAATGACTAATACCTAAGTAATAAGAATAATATAACGACGCCATTATCGGTATCCTGACAAACAATGTCGGATGATTGCGATGAATATTGAGCTCATATAGATATCCATTACTCGGCACAATAGTCAATAATAATTATTAATAATACGAGTATTATGTATTATTGTCATGACCGAACTAATGTAACGTTATACCCGCACGCCGGCAAGGTTGAAGGTATGTTGGCTATTATACCTAGGCATATGCGACATCATGGAACACCGCGGTTACCTGGTTATTAATCGTAAACACATCATACGCATAATTGTCATTCGATACACGATAGACGTTTATGAACAACCTATATAGATATAGGTAGGTTAGGCATAATATATAATAATAATATGGTACTTGCACGAGTAGGCACCACGACTTACTAACTGTCGTTTTGTTTTATTATTTCGTCGTGGGATTAAATAAAAATATATAATAAGTTTGTATAAAGTAATAGTAGTGCGGGTAAATGATTTAATGTCAACGTATTTATTTATTTTTGAAAACGTAACAACGACGCGGACATTGAGTGCATTATACTGTTTGCGTACGTATAACAATAATAATTGTAATTATCGTGTATTGTACAGATTTTTAATTATAGGTATTATTACTTAAATATTGTTATTTTGCGGCATCGTCTTCGTTTGGCGTGTTTTCTTTCGTGGACAAATAGTTTTTGACCATATCTTGAGCCTGTAAAAATTAACGAAATAAAATTACCGCTGCCAACAGAATAAATATATGTAGGCAGGCACCTACGTTATTATAATATAGGTACAATATAATTTTCTCCTCACAATGTTATAATAATTATTTTATAGGACTCACGTCCGTATATTGAATAAATAAATAAATAAATACCATCGGGGAATTCTGCAAGACGCATTTCATGAAGACGTAACCGGCTGTACAGTGAGTGTTCACTTCTGCAACAGAGAAATTTTATGTCACGTTTAGATATATAATAATAAATAGTATAAAATGTATACAGCGCCGATTAATACTTAAAAATATATAATACACAAGTATACTAGCCAGTAACCAGTGCCGTTTGCAAATTTTTTTTTTTGGTGGGGAAGGCATCGGTCTTTTTGCCAACCTAGGTGACTAAGTTTAATGTTAATCGATTTTAGCTACAGGTGACTGACTAGCACACGGCTGGACAGAATCAATTACCAAGCCCATTGAATCACCAATTTCTAGGGGCCACAGGGGCGTAATGAATTTCTAGATGCTCAACCTCGACTTTCAAACATTACCGCCTTCGAAACGAGTCCTCCAAAGCTTCAAGACTTATCGCCTCCTCCGACTTTTGAGTTTTGACCGATCAACAGGTGCGATTTTTATAATTCAACCGACTATGTCTCTACTTTCAGCGAACAGCTGGGGGTCGGGGTCTCCCCTATCAAGCTCTCCGAAATAGTCGTTTTATAAAAATATAGAACAGATGTAGTATCGGATCTAGTATTTATTACACTTGGTCACTTGGACCATTATAAATTATAAATATAGGTATTGATAGATTAATGATTAATATACATTACTACACTATTTACCATTGCCTACATACTCCTAAACCCATAATCATGGAGTTGTTGTCCTCAGTGGCTTAGTAGGTACACAAAGTTAAATAACTCAAAACTCGTTCGTATCAGGTACGATTTCGATATGTAAAAATTTTCAAAAAAGTTATCCGCTAAGTAATTTACAGTAAACAAAGGTGGTTTTCATTTGAAAAATAGAATCTTATATCACCACAGAATACTCCTTAAGTAATGCAAAAAATCCCAAAAATTTGAAAATATGGTTTTAAGTATATATAAAAATTCCAAAAATCAGATTTTGGATAAATTGATCATCAAATGAAAAAATGGGAAATGCTTGGCGTACCACTCTGTATAATATGAAAAAGTCTCAAATCGATTTTTTTCATACAATGCGACAATACTTAGGTACCTACCTACGACCTACCTATACATTGTACTTCGAATATAACAGTTTTGTAAAAAGTGTGATTTACATAATAATATATTATGGGCGTTATACTATTATTACGTAAGCGGACATTAAACTGTGCCAGTGTGCCCATAGAAATGTTTTTGTCATTTGACACTATAATATACGTCAATACGCAGTCATATTATTATTTTTAGCCGATTTACGTCACATCCGGATGATCTGCAGATTTTGAACATTCGTAAATCGGTCGATCGAAAATCACAGGTTGTCGAAGGCACCTATAGTACAGTATGTACCTAGGTATTATAGTTATAGCGACTACATCATACTATATTGCTATTAAAATATTTTCTTGACGAGCCTATAGGAAAAGATTAATAACCGGTTTTAAGATTTGGAGATACCTTTGAAAATATGTCGGCTATTATATTTTATAATCATTATTATTAATTAATATGAGTCAGAAAAAAAATGCAATTTCAGCGAAAAAATTAAAATTAATTCTAGTGTATTGTGTATAAATTTGTGTTTATAAAATACTTCAAAAGTTTCAAGTAGATACCATGGTTGAAATATACAAGGTTATTGCTTATATACCCCTTTTCAATCAAATATTTGATGATAAAAACAAAAATGGCAGCTAAAATTAAAATTTTCATAATTTTTTTAACTACAAAATAATCTGATATTTGAAAATGTAATAGAAGATTTTTCATAAATTTTTCTGCCTTTATCAAAAAAAAAAATGTCTACCGAAAAGTGAAATTAAATTTTTATAAGCATTTCAAATTCATATTTTTACAAAATTTGTTATTCACTCGATTTCTCATGTAAAGATTTTCTTATTTTGATATAATTCAAAAACAAATGACTCTAGATACATCCAAATTTCACTGAATATTTATTTTATCAATTCTTATACTTGATAACATTTTCAAAATATTTTGACGCTTTTTGAGCTAATTACGGGCATTGTCAGTTTTCGATTTTTAATTTTTTTTTTCTATAAATATCAATACAGTTTTATCTGTTGGGCCAAAATGTGTAAACATTTAATACAAGGCTCCTGATATACTGTTACAATAGTAGTTGAAAAATATTAAAAATACATAGGCACAATTTTTTTTATAAGCATTTAAACATCAAATTTTGACAACATTTATCAAATTTAAAATTGAATAATTATTTTGTAGTTAAAAATGTATAAAATGTTCAACTTTTATATCTAAGGAGTGAAAATTTAAAACAAGATTCCACGTAAGTAGTTAATTCTTTTAGCAAAAAATCTAAAACATACATAAGCACAGTTTATTTTTATAGTCATATTAAGTTCAAATTTGGACGAAATTACATAATAAAAAAACTAGAATAACTATTTTAGTTATTTTGTTGTGATTGTATAATATTATTCTTAGGTAGGTACTTGAAACTTCTAAATTAGGTACACTATTATATATCTATGATAGTATCAGGGTTTATTGTTGATGTGTAACTCGTTATAAGTACCTAATGGATATTGTGACATGATTAATTTTTAATTTATTATAGGTACCTACCTATTATAGGTCAATTTTTTTTTTGTATGTAATATGTCTTAAACCTAGACTGACATACCGTCTCCGCTCAGAATCGTTTTTCTTATACAATGATATTATATCATTGAATTCAAATTTAATACCATCCATTATGCAGTGACCCACTTGTAACTTACTAGTTACTGTACAGCAGAGCACCTTTTTTAATATATATTTTATAGAAAAAAACTAAAATGTATTGACAATTTCAAGTCAAAGAGTCAAAATATTTTGAAAATGTTATCTTTTATGGAAACTCATATAAACATTTGGTGGAAATTTAAAGTATCTACGTTTATTGACATTTTTAGTAACTACAAAAAAAACAACATCGATTTTGTGGTTGTAAACTGTTTCTGCGTAAAAATTGCCGGTGTTTCTTTATTTATTTTGATTTTTCCCGAAGCTTTTGATAACTTCTTTAACTATTATAAATTATGGTCTTTAATATTCCCAACCATACCCAATTTCTTACCAGAAACCACCCCCAAAATTGAAAATCAAAAGCATTTTTAGAATGCCATATGTGTACATTAAATTTGCAAAAAAATTAAAAATTAAAACTTTTCATATATTTATTATTTATCAGTGATCGTATGAGGACACATTGGCCCAACTAGAGGGTTGGTATACCAGGTGGTTATATACCGAAAGAATTAATATATACTATTTTGTTCATACTATTAATTTGTTATCAATTATTACATATTCGATATTCCTAAAGTTGATAGACCATTGACGATTAGCATTAAGACACATTACACAATCGATTGGTTACGAGCATTTTTTAGCTAATGACTCACACAAAAAAGCTATATACGATCTGATGTACGCTGTGATATACTGTGTCTTGGGTACTTTCAGGGTTGGGCAGTATCAAAGATACAATTGTATCTTGTATCGTAATGCATAATTTTAAAGTATCAAGTTTCATGTATAATGATACACTTTATACTATAGTATCATGTATCTTATTTTGCCAACATATTGTACCATTTTATTCGTTTTGTCTTCTATGTGAGTGTGTGACTGTCTGAGTAATAATTATAAGGCCGTTCAAGTTTTTTCATTTATTCTTTTATAATTGTTTCTTTTTAATTCTTTTTAATGGCCTATTTTACTGAACAAGATATTAAAATTAAATTGGAAATATAAAATATGGTGTATCATATATCTTTGATGCACGTATATTATATCTATAGATACACTAAATGCATGTATCATGTACTGTAATGTATAATGATACTTTTTTTGAACATCATGCCCAATTACTGGTAAACCCCTATGAGTTTTATAATATACTAAATTTTAATATAATAATTATAAATAAAAAAGTAGAGGTACCTATTATATTAATATTTTGTTTGTATCGTCAATACGAAGTGTGTTTAAATGTTTCAAAAAGTTTTCAATTATTGATTATTATAAAAGATTTACTTTTAAGGTTCCTGATGCCACTTTTTCAAATTGTCCACAATTCTATAAAATTTGAAAATTAAATTTTATATTTTAGTTGCCACCTCAATTATAATACTTTTCCACTAATCTACTATCCGATACCTATTTAGAGAGGGTTGATAAGGTGTATTATATCAAAAAAAATAACTTCACGGGAATAACTCTCAGGCTTTGTAGAGTTGTCTGATTTTGATGACTATTCTTTATCTGAAAGAAGAAGACTTCCTACAGCCCCCATCGATCTCTGATTTTGTATTTTATTTCAAATAATTGTATTAAAACATTTGTAAAAATGATTTTTATCTTGTATTTTTGTAGACATATTATAAATTTGAAGAATAAAATATTAAAAGCAAAGATCGATGCGAGCTGTAAAATATTTCCCTGTAGCAATTAAAAAAAAAAAATGATGAATTTTGGTTGATTCTACAAGGCAGTATCGTTATTCCAGGGGAGTGTATTTTTGAGGACAAAATGGCATCGGAACCGGACACCTTAAGACTAAGTAATTGTAGTAGTAGGGCTGTAGGGGTATTAGTTACGGCTCAGTGATGCATTAAAATTATAGCACTCCATGTTTTAGAGATCTAGTTGCCCATATGTAGGGGCACTGTTTGATAATATTATATTATATATGTTTATGTTAAAATAAAATAGTATTTAAATATCATCATCACCGTCTATGCAGTGCGCTTGCATTATGTTCGACTCGTTCCTGAGCATGTCGTTTTCCATCAATTCCGCCAACTCTTTAAATCTGGCCCAATTCCACTTGCCGGTATCAGTGTTCATCTGAAATACGAACGAAATCGCAAATGAAATACTAAAATAGTGCAGTACACTATATACAGTGGTCGAAGTGGGGGGGGATACGGAGGGATGACATCCCTCTACTTTTTTGTATTTACATTTTTCATCCCTCTACTTATTTTGTCTAGAATAACGCATTCCTCCTAAGACTTGTGTTTTAAAATGAAATAATTATTATGATTTTTATATTTATACCTATGTATAAGAAAACTTTTTATTTTTCGTATAAGCCGTTTCGCAATCATATTATCTATACCCGTATTTAGAGCCACGGATTAAGAATTTACATATACCTTAGACGTGTTTAGAGCTAATAACATAATATTTTAATATCACAAAACAATAACAATATTGATGATAATAAGTAGCAACTAGCAATATGCTAAAATATCTAAACGTCATTTCTGACAATATTTTGTTGATAACTGATAAGTAGATGTGTCTAAAATTTCCACAGAAAAATATTATAAATAAAATATTTTATCAGTTTTTTTTGAAAAATTTGAAAATATGTTATTTATTTGTTTAGTTTTAAAGATTATTTATGATCGAAAAAGATTGTAGTATTCTGATGCATAAACAAAATGTGAACTATAAAAAAAAAATACTATACAAGGTATGAAGAATGTTATGATGATATCAGGAAATCTGAATTGTAAGGCATCCCTCCACTTATCTTGAGCCATTTCGACCACTGACTATATAATAATAATAGGTATACACATTATAATATTATATTATGCAATAATAATCATACCGTTCCCATTTTCTTCGCCACGCATGGTCCGAGGCACTAAAACATAAAATAAGTACCACTTTTAATCTTTCAATTTTGCTTAAGCTCCACAAAACCAAACTATGTATTATAATGTATGTCCAAAAGTTGAAATCTGTCTGGCACATGAAATTTAACGGTAGATCGTAGTTAGTGACCATGATACCACTGTTGCAACAGCCGATCAGAATACGTAAAAGCACACGACACAGCTAGAGATGACGCAGAAATGTGAACCCGCCGTAAGTCAGCCGCATTAAACTCATACGAGCTAGGTAGGTTACAGACACGGACTAAGATATAATACCTATACCCAATAATTATTAGAGGACGGATTTATATTCATTTGCTTATTATTGTTCTGGTTGATTGTAAAATATGATAACATTACTAAGTGAGCACAAAATTTGTTTCATGGCATAACGATTTAAAAAAGTCGCTCTGTTTATAAAAAAAATTGTGCCTATGTATTTTTAATATTTTTCAAATGCCATTGTAACAATATAGTAGGAGCCTTCTATTCAATTATCAAGCATTTTTAACCAACAAATACAATTTTATTGATATTTATAGAAAAAAAAACTAAAAAAAAATAGCAACTGAAAATGTCCATAAACAGCTCAAAATAAGCCAAAATATTTGGAAAATGTTATGGTGTATAGAAAATGCTAATATAAACAAGTCAAAATTTCATGTACCTAAGGTCATTTGTTTAAGAGTTACACCAAAAACCAAAATCGATTTTTTGGAAAACAGATTTTGCGTACAAATTCTCGTTTTTCCTTAATTTTTTTTTTGTTTTTCACGGCGCTTTTGAAAATTACAGGAAATTGTTTATTTTTGACCCTATGTAGGACCTTTTACTGCAGACTAATTTTTTACCTAAACTTACCCAATTTGGGTTGTATTGACATACTGCTTACGCGTGTGGCGAAGAGGTGTGATTTATAAGAGTAGGATAAAAAAGCTTGTTCTGTGGTCACACCGTCAGTCCAACGCCACACTCTCCGACCGCAACACCACTACCGCACCGCAGTTTCATCACTCCATTCGTTCAAGTTATGGAAAAGTTTTAAGTACGTTACGGCGTAACCACTACATATATAAATTCGCATAATTATTTTCAGGAATAAACACTATCCTACACAGCCATTGAATACATTTATATATTGATAACGTAGATATAATAAAGTCGTGGGGCCGTATTCATAGTCGATGCTTAAGAATACGTATTGCTTGAGCTAATTTTGAAAATTAAAAAGTCGTGACAATAACTAAAAGCCCTTTGAGGTCCTACGTTAAAAACAAGTAATACTTTTTCTTATCTTAAGCCAAAGTCTCGTTTATGAATCCTATTTATGTCATAAGTATAGATTAAGCAATATACTTATTCTTAAGCATCCACCATGAATACGGCCCTTAACGTATAAATGTATAATACATTTGGATAAATCATTATAAACGGGAGTAAACACTATTCTATATTATAGTTATCGTATACCTACATAAATGTTTGTAGGATAATGTTTATTCCCGGTCATAATAATTTACACGAATGTATGAAAATGTATACGTTAAGTGTGTTTTACATAATAAACGGCAGGGGCGGACTGGGCCGGCGGGATACCGGGAACTTTCCCGGTGGGCCGCTACTCAAAAATAATTAGTTACCTATTATTATTTATTTATAACAAAATCAGTAGGTATAAATATAAATTATAAATATTTTGTATTTTCATATCATAACTGTTGAGTGTGCAAAATGTTTATATTATATTTGGTGTTAAAGATTTCGTTAGTGATTTCGGTTCAGCTGGTTGACCAGCCCCTCGGCATCAATGCATAAACACTAAACAGAAATTATTATTTATAACTACTAGGGTGTGAATTTGAAGATAAATTGCATTTTTTTTCTGGATTCTCTTAAACATTGCTTTCCAATCAAAAAATGTATTTCATACATAAAATAATTTAAAAATTAAATTTTTATTTAGCATTTTTTTAACTTTACTGATTTATAGAACATTTTTTTGACGTTTTTATGACATTTTTATCGTTTGAAGGAATTTTTCGTAAATTTTATAAGTATATATACAAATATACAATTTTATAAACACTATTAGCTTAAGTTCCTTCAAGAAATTTAATATAATTAAAAATCATTTTTTCTTACTAATATTTCTATTTTATTACGTTTTATTTTATTTTGTTTGCTCCTATGACTTCAGTTATACAAAACAACACTTGCCAATTCTCAAACTGTCAAAGTTTTTTATTCAAAAATATTGATTAGCTTCTGATTGAAAAGTGATTATAATGAAACACAATATATGACGACTAACGACTAATGACTATACCTATTTAAGTTCTATTTTATTTTCATTTAAATTGGCTTTTCATTTTTCTGGGCATTTTACTAAGCTTTGTAATATTGTTACTGTGCATAAAATCGTATTTTTAAGGCATTGTTTTTTTTTATTGTATTTATATCCATGCCCTATTTTTAACTTAATATGACTTTATTCTACAGTCGATATTAATATATCCACTTCTAGCCAGCCAGTATTTACTAATTATAACTAACATTAAATTGTACACAATAAAAAATATAATATAAATATATTGTACCTACATAATAGTAAAATATAAAAGATAATTTGTGATAATTTGATGGGAATTAATAACTAAAGGTACAGTTTCGTACGTTCCATGTAACGTCCTTAATTCAAAAAAGTGAATTCTTGAACTTCTTTTTTATTTTATTGTAGTGTACTAGTGTATCGTTTGATGATTTTGTAATATTTACTTATCTATTTGTTGTTTAAAATGGAAACTAAAAGAAAGAGTGGGGTTGAAAAAATCAGAGAGAGAGAGAAGGATACTCTTAGAAAAATCAAGTTAAAGTAGTTTAAACGAACCTATTTTTTTCATCCGTTATGGATCACTTATAGAGTAGGTAATAGAAAAAGTGATATATGCATAATACTGTGCAGTACATTTAATTAAAATAAAATACTAAATAGGTACATTGAGAATCTTAAGTTGTCTCCTGAGGAAATTAAAAATGAGTAGGTGGAGGATGCAACCATTATTTGTCATAACTTTGGTACCATATTTAAGTCTTACATTTAGTGATGACGACATTTTAAGGGCCGGTCAAAATATAAATTTCCCGGGCCGAATAGTTGCCCCAGTCCGTCCCTGATAAACGGTATCGAATACATAAATGTATGAATAAATGTATTCGATGACTGTGAAGGATAGTCACTACTCGTGGTCATAATAATTTATGCAAATGTATACATAGATATTATAGTGGTTACGTAATGCCCTTTACGTGAAACTGTTCTATACGTGAACGAATGCAGGGGTGGTGCGGTCTGAGAGTGGTGCATCAGTTTGACGGTACAACACCAGAATATACCACGCCATTTTCAAATGCATCGTTTTCGGCCAAAATAAATTCAACATATCTTATTACTAATATTAAAATAAATTACTTTAAGTAATGTCAATATTGTAAATATATATCATAGAATATACTTAATATGGATGTAACTTTATTATGGAAGTCGATCCTCAAAGTCTAAGTATATTTTTAGTAGGTTTATGAGGGGAAAAGTTTGGTCACCCTTGGTATACAGTATTGACTGATAGAATCGTGCAATGATTATTGATTTATTATAGAATTCAAATTGTACACTTATAAATTACTTAGCTGTGTCTTACTTAATAAGTAATAACAAATAACAATACACGAGACACTCGACGATGACACCTACTGTACCTAACAGCAGAGTAGTCACCTATTTACTCTTGACTCCCCTGCTAAGTGCAATGTACCAACTAGATCCAATTTCCTACCGCAGAATAACATTAACACAACTAAGGGGGTGAAAGAGGGTCTTAAGCACCTCCAAGTTCTAATTTACCACCTCTTGTTTTTTTTAGGTCCAACTATCATTATTATATTGAAATACCATAAATTATTTATTTTTTTAAGTATGAAATATTATAGCACTCCACGTTTTAGAGATCTATAGTTGCGCCTATTCGCAGAAACCACCTTCAAAGTGGAAGATTGAAGCAGTTTTCAGCCAAAAGGTGATGACTGCAGTCTTCAGACACAAAATCACAAACATCATCGTAGAACTATTACTTTAATCACCCCGCTTAGAATCTAAAATTTACTATTTAGCTAATACTTAGAACTTAGAAGTTAGAATATAATATTATATACACACCTTGCAGTTATCGTACTTCTTATCACTGTGATCTTTGTCCTTCAATAACAATTCACCGCAAACGTCTATCGATCAGTAAACAATTAATATAATATAACAATTGTTTCATACTTATTTAAATGCCACTATACAATTAAAATTGTTTTTTAAAATATTTTTTAAAACGGACAAATAATGACATAATAATAATATAATATTACCAGGATTTACGTCCAGTTGTTGCATACAAGTAAACACGTTATCTAACATGTCATCTATGAGTTCGCTTTGGTTGCTATATTTTTTTTCGGCATTTACCTGAAACACAAGTCGTTTTTCAAAACATATTACATATATATTATAATATCTTGCATCGATATCAACTTTATTTTAATATTCGATATTAATAGTCTAGAAAAAGAGACTGATTGGTTGTACCGGCCGGCCGACTGAGGAGGAAATTATATTGTAAAGTATAAATAACATAGGTACCTATAATTATATACAAACAACATCTTATTCTTAACTTATTAAATATAGAACATGGGTGCTGGATAGAATTGTATAGGTAGGTATACATTTAAATAATAAATTGTTTTTAAAATTGTATTTCAATTATTTTTAAAATCGTTGTGTTTATTTTTTTATCTGTCGTATTATATTTACCTGTTTAAAAAAATATATGAGTATAATTATTGTGTGAGACATAATATAAGACAGAGGTCGGTGTATAAGTAGGTATTAAATACCAAAATATTTTCTTTTTTATCTTATTAGTTTAACTTAAGTACGAAATTAATCAACGCCGAGGGCAACATATGATAGTTGGTTATCACACAGAATTAATTAAAAAATATTGTGTACCTATATTATATTGATACTCACAGTTATAACCGAAATAGCCGCCAAAAGACAAATCAACAGAATTTTGGTAAACATATTGATATTGAAATATTTTATTTCACACAAACAACGTATAATATGCTAATGAAATTACTAGTCAATGGAAGCTGAAAAATAGTCATTCTCGTTTTATACTCAATGCAACATTTGACAGGAAATACCACACTTTATTCAAACAAAAAAATTTTGATTTTATCAAAAATATCTATAGAGGTAATTTAATATTACCTGTATATTGTATAACATTTAATTTAATTTATTTATTAATTATTCACCGGATGTTTTGTTCAACAATGTCGTTCTGTTTATCGAAAAAAATTGTATAAACCCAAATTACGCAAGTCTTAGATTGGTACATTCATGATTCATCATCCGCATTAATGATTGAAGAAAAAATGGAATTAATATTGTGTTAATAATTGAGGGGTTGAAATCCAAAACGTACTACTGCCAAAATACTGATTTTTCAGGAGAAGCAATTTTCTGTATCTTAACATTTCCAATAAAAACAAACCATTTATAATCAGACAAATAATATATTATTAATATTTAAAATGAATGTGCATGTTAAATATTCTAGAGTTATTTTTAATTTAATTTAAAACTTAATTAAAATGTTTTAAATTAAATTTTAGTACGTTTTGGAATAACATTTTTACTTCCCTATATATATATAGGTATAGGTAGAACACTGGTAAAAGTACGTTTTGGCATAATATAAAAAAAAAAATGTTATGGAAATAGTTCGTTTTGATATACCTAATTAATTATTTGTTCCTATTCTTTTAACATGGGCAATAGTACGTTTTGTCCTAAAACTGGAAAAAGTAAGCTTTGATTTCCTATTAATATCACTTTTATGTGTGGAAAAGCTTCGTTTTTAGATTAATCAGTCATTTTGAATTGCAGATTGGACCAGGAAATAGTACGTTTTGATTTATTCTGACGACGCCAGTCGATACCTAACTTGATTTTGTCAATTTTGACTATAGTACGTTTGGGATTTCCAACCCTCAATTGAGTTATCATACATAAAGACATCAAATCTATAAACTGTTATTAAATTATTTCATTTATTTGTAAAATTTTTTTCATTGATCCATAAGCCCGGCATCTATGGCCATTAACTGTTTGTAGGGTTCTATTGTTGTGGTGGTAGGGTTTGGAACGGTGAGATTTTACACGTAAGTGTTTATGCTTATGTTTTCTTTAAGTGAACACCCGTATAGGTATCTGCCATGTACGGATGGGGGATGGTAGCCTTTCTCTTCGGACACCGTGACTGCTGGAAGAAAAAGGCCGACAGTAGCCGGGATCGAACTGGCGTCGGTGCTCGGTGCAACCGACACCTTAGTCCACTCGGCCACTCCGTCCCACAATTATTAAATTATTATATAGTTATTTGTTAGGTAATTATACCATATATCATATAATATATGGGGGGACATCTGGTGATCTATTAGACCCTCATTTATACAGAAACCACTAAATCATGAAATTATTTTAAAAATTAACTTATTTTACAATTTTAAGTGGTTGCTAAACAACATTTTTGAAAAAATAATATTTTTCACTATTTTTTATGACAAATTTTTAATTTCATATTACAAAGCTGAATATTATTCATATTATTTCGATCTGTAAAAATAAAATGTTTGAGTTATACTTATAAGTATTTAAAGTTTGATGAGCTGAGTGGAGTGGGAAGTATATAGGTACCTCGCAAAATGATTGGCCTGATGGTGGTTCACTACTATTGATTAACTTAAAACTGTTGTTCTAACATTTTATTTTATATAATATTGAAGTACTCTGCTTTGAATTAAAAATTCATGATTTCATTAAAAAAGTGAAACTTTTAATAAATACGATAATGATAAAGAATAGAAAAAAATTGTTGTTTTAAAAACGTTAATAATAGTTGTTGAAATAATGATATAAGTATTTTTTTTTTATTGAACTTAATAGCCCGGCTACTATATGGCCATTAGCTGCTGTAGGGGATTATGAACTATGGTTGGTACGGTAGGGTGTTGTTACTGTAGGTAAGCAAACACGTGTATGTGTGGCAAGGTTTTTACTATTACGAACCCGGGTGGTCACCCATCCGGTAGCTAGTAGCAGCGGGCGTTACTTACTCTCAGCCGCATTCCCCGAATGGTAGCAGCCAACGCACCGTGCCAAGCCACTGGTATAGGTATATACTATATAATATTGGAAATAACTATTATTACTACAATATAGAAATAATCATCTCTTTACGTCGTTGACAGTTGATAAAAACTAATTTTATGCAGATCACGAGGGGCCGAAGAGGAGGGGAAAATCGATTAGTCTATATCTCTTCTATTTAAAATATTTGAGAGAAATGTTTCCATTCAGAGTTCTTTTTATACTCAAAAAATGTGTATGGTAATCTTTTTGCATACAATTACTAAATTGGTATTTTATTGGTATTTTTTATTGCATACATCATAGTCGTTAGAAATCGTCTCCGGATATCATAACTCTAGATAATATATTATAATACATATAGGCGAACAAATACAAAATAATCTTTTGAATGTACACGCATAGTATTTAAATAATATTATTAAAATAATTTACAATACAAATATTTCTTCTGGCTATATATATAAATTATTATAAGTACCAAGTATCGGCCTTGTGTGATATTTGTGATATATGACATACAATGTAAATTCGATTCATCACTCATAATATGAATGTCAAACACAATATATTATATTTATTATGCGTAAAAATAATCAAGTACATATTAATATTTAATATATTATTATATCCATGCAAAATATCTCAAACAATGGCCCATGAAATTATTGACGTTATTGAAAATAATGACGAAATTATAAGTAGTCTATTGTGCAGATGGCTGCAGACCTTTGTTTGAATATTATTACGTCCGTTTCTCCTTGATTTTGATTTTTCATTTGTCAGTAAATGACAAATTTATAACATAAACTGATAATCATCACTGTTGCGTGCGTACAAAGATCACGATCTGTGTTAAAAATAACATAAAAAAACTATGTGTTTTTTTAAAAATAAATGATTTTTTTTAAATCAGTTTTTGTATCAAGTTTGTTATAATATGAGTACTTGCTTGTTTAATGCATTCATCATTAATCAGCGAAGTAGTCAAGGGGGGGGGGGCTGAGAAGGCAGCAATCAACCTCGAAATTTCAGGACAATTAAAAAAAGTTTTCAGTGTTTTTTTGAACGTATTACGTAAGGTGTAATCGTGCATTACAAATTGTAATTATTTGTATGCAACCTACCTACCTAAACTAAAAAGTAAAACCTATGTTAGAAAATAGAAATACAACATCAGGATCCAGACTTGTTAGTCTATTCATAGATACTTTGAAATTTCTGGTGATAAATATTGGACAAATTCTTAAAAAGTGGAAACGCTATATAACATTAAAACTATAAATCATCTTTATCTAATTTCTTGATAACTTTTATTTAAAAAAATAAAAATATTAGTGAAAGTTCATTAAAGCATTTTTTCATTAAATATATTTACGTTATTAATGTTGAAATTGTATTTATACAAAAGAGAATCCATAATTCATTCTATTCTTTCTTTTACAATTAAAAGGATTGATTTCATAATATTATACTGTATATGTACTATAGGTATTATATTTATGCGATGATGATTATTATTACTATATGTTTAAGTGTATACCAATTATATTATAATATATGATGCGTATAGGTTATATATATTATATGGTATATAACACAAGTTCCTAATTATTATATTATAAAATCAATGGTTATGGTTACTAATCGCCTATAATTTTTGATTAACTAGGCCCAATTACATAAAAAATCAGTTAATATAACGACAAATGTTCGTAGACAGTAATGTAATGATTACAATATACTTCAAATTAATAGTGAAAAACAAATACTTATAGCAATGAATAATTAGGTACCATATGTATATGAAGCATTGAAGCTACAATACATTTTAAATGAGTCGAAGTTTGGTACTTTGGAGTTTGTTCCTGTTTGATTTTTAATTAATTTATGGTTTTTGTCATTCTGTACCCATATAATTACGAAGTTAGTATGAACTAGAAACTATAAAGTCCCTATAAATAAAATTATGTACAGAGAGCGAAATTATAAATATTCCCAAGGCATAGCATACCAAACTTATTAAAAATCCTACAGTTAAGCCTCCCCTGTATAACCAATTGTCAGTTTTTATCAAAGTTATGACATGTATTGTCGTAAATCATAATGCAACTAGTAACCTGGTAAAATGTTAGGTTTGTAGGTAGGCTATGATTATCTTTTCCGACAGATGAACACCACAATATTTCCTATACACGTCGCTTTCAGAATTTCACCAATATCGGACCGTTTCCGCCAAAATGAAAAAAAATTTTAGTTTCATATCCTTTCCGCCAAATTTATTATTTTTCCAAAATGATTATTGGAGATTTGATAATCAATAATCATAACTCTAGTTTCATTTAGTGTACCTATCTAGTTATTGTTTTATGGTAGGTACCTATTCTAAAAATTTTATTTAAATATAATATAAATAGCAGATAGGTACGTAACCTAACCTTGCACAGTGTGCAATGATCAATTTAAGTGATAGTTAATGCAGAACAACAAACAATAAAATTGTGAATAATTCCACTCACGCTATTAACACTTTCAACGCCGCTGACGCGTATACGCGGCAACAGAGTTTATTCCATTGGGCCAGTGACGCGTTTACGCGTCAGTAACATGTACGTTTGTATCCGCCATAATTTAATCGATTTTATTTTAATAAACTCTGAAATGTACACAGGCTGTAGACAATAAACTCTAAATTTAAATCTATAATTGGTTTGAGTTTTCGTTATTATTAGATACTGATAATCGTTGTTTTTGACGGCCTTCCCAAGAAAATGTATATGAACGTATACAGGGTGTATATTAGATATATTATTATATTATGAATTTTTCTACTGTTATTTAATAATAGTAACATACTGTATCAT